CCTTCCATTCCTTTCTGTGGTGCCCAACACACATTTCAAGCCACTATCTTCCCTTTTCAAGAATCAAGATCGCCATCATGGCCACTATACACATTTCTGTTATTGCTGGCTGACATCAAGGAATACCATGATGTTTACAGCGCTGCCCACACAGCGCTGCCCCCTTTTTCAGTTAAGTAATTTTTAAGACTTGAATATATCGATTTAGACCCACATTTTTATAGAGCACGACACTTTCATGCCTCTCTCCAATTATTTATTTTACATCGTTAAATTATACATTTTCATTCTACACTTTTATTTAACTTAACTACGGTATTCGTTTTATCATGAATAATTTAGTTTTCAATCCTCATGACATATTAAACCTAAGTGGTAAGCCCAGCAATTTCAAATCATTCGGGCCAAGCATGAAAAACATGTCTAAAGCGGCTGGCAATCTCAAGAAATCTGCGGTGGACATGGCAAAAACAGCAAATGATAAAATGACTAAGGAAAATATGAGTAAAGCAGCTGGCAATCTCAAAACATCTGCAGTGGACCTGGCAAAGGAGGCAATGGACAAAATACCGAAAGACAAAATTTCTAAAGGGGCAAATCAATTAGGAGCATACGCAGCAAACAAGGCGACATCCATGACAAACACAGCAAAGAACAAAATGAATTCTGTATCCCAAAAATTTGACAAGCACAAACCAGCTAATATTCGCAAAGGTAAACCCGTTGTTGAAATGTCATCCAAAAACCCATTGATAAATTGTGTGAAAGACTTCAAAAAAAACCTCGAGTTTACTATCGACGAAGACACAACATTCAAAAATATGGACGAGCTTTTACGGAAATGTTTGAACTATACTTGTGTATATTTTATCTATGCTGAGGATTACATTGACACCAATTTAATTATGGCCATTGATGGCAATGATTATTTTGAAAACAGATATCTTTTTGGATCAGCTAATAAGATAAAGGAGAATCATCAATTTAAAAGGTATGTTCAGAAGAAAATCAAAAAGAATGACCCATCTATTGAAGAATACCCACAGAATTATAAACTGAAATTTATTTCGAAAAATGAAAAAAATGCTGAAAAGGACACCAGTAAAAAAGTTGGTTGTCTAAGTGTGATAAAAAAACTAGCGAGTAAAAAGGTTAAAAATATAGCTAATGAAAATTTGAATTCGAGTATACAGTGGAAATTTAAAATTATCTGAACATGTTGCAAAATTTGCCTAACATGTCTATTGTTATTTCTTTACTCATTATTTATGGAAAAAATTGCAAATAACGATGACCAGTGTGTACTACGATAGACTTTACGTACAATGGTCAGTGATGTTTTGAAAGAGTTGGATAGAGCCACATTATCCATAACAGCAAGCAATCTGTTATTAGCACCTTTCAATTATTAATTTTCAATGTATTTTTCATTAACTTGCATATTACTGTTTTGAAAATACACATAATTATTAGTCGCATCATGAAAAGCCAGCAAGTGCACAGCATAAAAAACTTAATTTTTTTAAATATTTAGTGTGTATTGTAAAAAAGATTGGATAGGAAAAGAGAAAAGAAAAAATTGGTTAATGAGCCTTGCTGGCAAATCCACTGCACAAAGACTTTGTGAAACCCAACGAGAAGCTAGTCTCGACATCGACTGACGGCACAGACTGGGCAGCCATATCGTCATCCGAAGAGATATCCATCTTGTTCGAATCGGGAGTCGTCTGGTCCTCCTCAGCAGCGGTATCTTCCAAAGCAATATCGACCCTGGGCGCCAGGTGAGCCTTGACAAACTGGTCGTAGAGCGCCGAAACTGGGGGAAGGACGTGGTGAGGGGCATTGATGTAAGCAGACTGCACAGCAGACCGCACAAGGCGCATGGCCGAGCGCACATGCGGGTTGGCCGACACCAAGGGTACGACCGAGTCAGCAGCGGGCTTGTTCTGGACACTAAAGATGCTGGCAAATGCCGAGCTCTGCATGGGCACAGCGGCTGTGGAGACCGATATGGCAGGGGCAGCGTCCATGGCGCGAGCAATGGCCTCGTCGTCAGACTCGGCACCGTACACGTTGAGCAAACCGGTGGGGGTCAGCACGACAAGCGAGTTGTTCTGCAGGGGGTCAGGACGCAGGAGGCCGCGCTCAGTGTCGGGGTGGCTGCGGCCGGATTTTCCCGACGTCGCAGCGGGGGCCAAGGCAATGGCCTCGACACCGCCAGAATGCTGCAGGGTGACCAGGGGCACGGGCGACTGTGGGTCCAGAACCATAATCGACGCAATCGACTGGCCGGGGATCTGGTTGGCAGCCACGGCCAAGAGCGAGGCGCGCGGGTGCGCGTAGACACTCTGCAGGGGCATTGCCAGCGTCCACCAAACGGAGCCCGTCAGCATATTCCACACATCTAGGCGGTTATCCGACCACGCAGCAACATAGTTCGACGACCCGATGAAGGCCACACCCGCAAGGTCGGGCGTCGCCGCGCTGGCCACCAGCGCAAAAACCGGCGCAGCGCACGTGTCGGCGTCCCACAGCGTCACAACGCCGCCAAAGGCCACGGCTAGCGTCGACCCGTCGGCCGAAAAGGCGGCCCCGCTCGGCTGCAGACCGCGGAAGCGCGACGTGCTGCGACACGACCACACGTAATGGTCCTCGGCGCCTGGCGCACCCTGACGCGTCTCCAGCTCCCACACGCGGAAGGCGCCGTCACGGCCAGTGCTCACGCAAAGCAGCCCATCGCCACGGCCGTGTGCACGGCGCGGTGCCGGACGGAAAGCCAGGGCGCGGATGCCGTGCGCGTGCGGTGCGTCGACACGCGTCACCAGCTTGTACGACTGGTCGCTCGAGTCCAGGCGCCAGAACTTGAGGTACGTCTCAACCAGTGCCGACGGCCCGTGCGGCGAGTCAGCTCCGCGCGAGTCGGCCGTGGCCATCCAGACACCATCAGAGCTGAACTGCACAATGTCGACGTGCGGCTGCTGCTGCTCAGCGTTTGATCCCGAGATGCGGTTGAAGGCCGCAACCTCGATGCTGGCCAGGTGACGGTCGGTCGCGTGGTTGAAGACCTGGAGATAGCCGGGCTCGCCATTGAGCACCAGGGCGTGCGTCGCCGGGTGCACGACCAGCCCGGTCGTAAAGGCGTCGGGCTCGAGGCGGCGCGCCAGGCGCAGGCGCTCAGGCGAGCCGTTCTGCATGGCCAGGCCAGCGGCCTGGCCGCGCTGGGCAAACTTGAGCCCCTGCAGCGTCGACACCATCGAGCGGTCAAGAGCAGACACGACACGCACAGTGTTGTCGCGCAGCGTCAGTGCGTACATCATCTGGTCGGGGCTGACGGCAATGCCCAGAATGTCGCTGCCCAGGCGCGGCAGGAACTCGCGCGTGTCCGACCCCATCTGCCATAATACAAGCACGCCCTCCTCGCCACCCGACAGCATCAGCCGCCCGTCGCTGCCGAACACCACAGCGTTGACCTTGTGCGCGTGCCAGTGGAGTGGCCGACGCACAATGCTGCGGTCCTCGCTGGCTACTGCGTCCCCATCAACGCAGAACCAGTGCATGATGCGTCCGCGCCAGTCGCCGACCGCCAGTACCGGCTCGGTCGGGTGGAACGCTAGCGCCGAGAGCCGCTCAGACATACGCCACTTATGCTGCACAACGGCGCCGCTGGGCTTGATCTGCGCCAGGAACACGCGGAACTTGGAGTATGCTGCCACCCAGCCGCCACCGGGCCGCACAACCAGGCCCATCGCACCGCTGGCCACAAATAGCTCGCGCACGGTCGTGGCCTCGCCTTCACCAAGCACGACGTGGCAGATGGCGTACTTGACCTTGTCGTTGCCCTGCCGCGCCACGGCCTTGGGTCCGCGCCGCACCGCGCAGTAGAACGCGCCGGCCCGCGCCGGGTCTGCCGACGCAAACACTGCAGCCTCGCCTAGATCCCACTCGCTCACCATGGCGCCACTGTCGGCGTCCCACAAGCGCGCACGCGCGTCCGCAGAAAAAGTGTACACGCGCCGTGCCTCGCCGGCCACAACGGCATGCACAGCCGTTGGCTGGTAACCGGTGCCGCTGCGCTCCATCGAGAAGTTCTGCACCATCTCGCCATTCTGCACGTTGTACACGGCCACAGCGTCGTCCTTGGCTACGTAGAACAGAGCAGAGTCGCTGCTGAACACTACGGAATCGTTGGTCAGTAGTCCGCCGCTCACTAGCTTCAGCTCGATGCCGCGGTACGCCTCTGTGTCCTGCACTGCAATCGCCGACTGCACCATCGGCGTCATCGGTGTCATTGGGTGCGACGATGTCTCGCCCTCGCCCTCGCTGTCGCTGTGTCCATGCTGGATGACCAGCTTGGGTGGCCGCTTCTTCGTGGAAGGCTTGGTCGTGGCCGTAGTTGTGGCTGTGCCTGTGGCCGCGGGAGCACCACTGGTATTGCTATTCTTTGTGGACTTTTGTTTGGCTGCTTCTGACGTATTCTCCTTTGGTGCCTTGGTTGTCTTTTTTGTCTTTTGTTTGGCCGGCGCTGAGGCTGCGCCGCTGCCCTTCTTCAGGCTCTTGGCTTCCTTGGTCGCCATTTTTGCTTCTTGTGAGTCTCTTTTAAATGACAGTAGTCGAAAGAGAGATAAAGAGAGTGAGAAAACGTGTGAAAGAAAGAGAATGAATGGAAGAAATTATATATAAAACAAAAAAGGGTGAATTTCTATGCACAAAAAGCAGGAAAAAATATAAGAAAAAATTGACCCGATCTCTTATACTTTTGTCAGTACAATGTGAGAAATCCAGCTTTGAACTTTTTTTTTCTCCATGCCGCGTTTTTTTTTCCAAATTTTTTCTTCTTAGGTGCTTGATCGATCACCGCCGCGATCACAAGCTAAGCTCATTATCATTTCGGGATTGAACACACCCAAATCTCAGTTGCGATTAACCGCGCAAAATGTCTGTTCTGCCTGGGCTACTTTCGTACTTGCTTTCACACCTCGATTCACATTTCCAATTTTAAAATGACACTTTCAGCATTCCTTTCTCGATTCACCAGCCGCACACCAGCTCCCAGGCGCCTCCAGCCGTACTCGACACAAATGCACACGTCCTCTTCCAGCGCCACAAAACCACAGCAAAAGCCCAAGAGCTCGCCGCAGCAAGAGAACATTGGCATACTACGAGCCTACGGAAAACCTGTTTCCACCATTTTCCTGTGGAGCGCACTCACGTATATGACGCTGCAAGCCGTATGGAGCAAGCTCTATTCCGACGAAATGCGTCTCGAGACCGAAACCAAGATGGAAGAGATCAAGGCTGAGCTTGAGCGGTTGGAATAAACGAATCATCCAGTAACTAGGAAGGGGAGCGACTGGGCGTGGGTGAGTGAGAATCGATCATTGCTATTGCTTCTTCCACCGTGTAAAAAATAAAAAATTATATAGTAATCGGCAGGAACTAAGTGCGGAGGATGGTGGCGATATTCAACCATTCATTGTGTTCAGTGAGCAGAGTGGTTTTGCCTCCCATCCCAACGCAAATACCACCGAAGGAAATAATAGCGGGGCTGCGCCCTCCAAAGCAATATTTTTTGATCTGCTTCCACACTGCTTTTTTCTTTTTCCTTATTTATTTATTTCGTCTTATCTTTTTTATGCTTAATACCCAAATTTAATATCGAATACTCGACTCGATGAACACGCTGTCACTCCGCCTCACAACCACCACCACTGTCGCCAGCGTTGTCGCTGCTGCTGGCACTCGGCACTCAGCAAAGGTATGCAAACATTTAAATTCGAAGAATACTGAATCTCACTGTTTTACAGCCTGTGCCACTTCACAATATCTTATCTCTCACCAAATAATCAAAATAAGCACAATTATACATTCATAGGCTGCTTCTTTGCTCGGCAGGCGCTTCCTAGCTACCGAGGTTGATTCCGCAGATGACAAGCCCGCGCGGCGCGTACGCAAGGATTTTGCAGACAAGATCAAGGGCGGGCCAGGATTTTCCGACTTTGTCGGCGGCATGGATGAGCCCCTGACGCCCTCGCAGGCCATGGAGAAGGCAGCTCAGGTGCAAGGTAAGCTCCAGAGCAAAGCGAGCAAACACACACGGCTCCCGCAATGGCTCAAAACAGATATCCCCACGGGCGGCAACGTGACGAAGATCCGCAAGACACTGCGCGACCTTAAGCTGCACACAGTATGCGAGGAGGCGCGGTGTCCCAATATGGGCGAATGCTGGGGCGGGGGTAAGCACGGCACGGCAACGGCAACCATCATGATCATGGGCGATACATGCACGCGTGGTTGTAGGTTTTGCTCGGTCAAGACTAGCAAGAACCCGGCTGCTCTGGATCCCTTGGAGCCCACCAATGTGGCGACGGCGCTAGCTGCTTGGGGGCTGGACTATGTTGTCTTGACGTCGGTTGATCGCGATGATCTGCCTGATTTTGGCTCGGCTCATTTTGCCGCGACGGTGAATAATATCCGCCAGATGGCACCCCAGATGATGATCGAGTGCTTGACGCCGGATTTCCTTGGACGCCCGGAGCTGATTGAGCCTGTAGCGCTTTCGGGACTGGACGTCTACGCACACAACATTGAAACCGTTGAGTCCCTGCAGCGCATGGTGCGCGACCACCGCGCCAACTACAAGCAATCCATGTTTGTGCTCCAGCATGTCAAGCAAACAAAGCCCACACTTCTGACCAAATCCTCCATCATGCTGGGTGTCGGCGAGAAGGACGAGGAAGTGTTGCAGACCATGAAGGATTTGCGCTCGGCTGGTGTCGATATTGTCACCCTTGGGCAGTATATGCGGCCGACTAAGCGCCATATGAAGGTGCACGAGTATGTGACTCCTGAAAAGTTTAAGCATTGGGAGCAGGTCGGTAATGAGCTTGGGTTCCTTTATACTGCCAGTGGTCCGTTGGTGAGGTCATCTTATAAGGCGGGTGAGTTTTTCATTTCAGAGATTCTGCGTAAACGCAGCGCGGTGGCTGCTGCCAATGCTGCCAGTGCTGGTGAGTCTGGCGGTGCAAAGAGCTTGCGGGATATTGCTGCTACTATTGCTACAGAGGAGCGCAAAAAGTCTATCATGGCTGACAGCTCTGCCGGCACGTCGTAAAACATAGTTAATGGTAGTATTTTTTCTTTTGAGACTGAAATTTGCAATACACACTTTTGCTATATATCTAAAAATTAGGGACTATAAAATAAATTTAAACAAAGACATTACTACTCGAATTTCAAAACCACTTTTAACATCGACAGGCCATTTGGATAAGCATAAATGGGCATATGACTTGGAGGAATCAACTTTTTTCATTTATTAAAATTTCGTTACTGTTGAAAACGTATTTTTCTCTCGGTTCAGTCTTATTTCCCTTATTGACAATTATTTGCTAAAAAAAGTATCCTTTCAGGTAATACAAAGATGCTGGGCCATTCATTAGAATGTGCACGTTTGTCTGGAAAGTTCACCTGGTACATTATTGTCACGTCGTCTAAGATATTTTGGGTGCCCATTTTTTAAATAAAACATGAAAAATTAAAATGGTGTATTGATGTATGGTTACAAATGATGGGTTTTAGCAGACATGAGAATTGTGCTTCAATTTATATAATTAGTAAAATGCGAATGCAAATATTTAATAATTGTAAAATTGCTAAAAAATATTTTTTTATATTATTTCAAGTAGAAAGTATACATTTTGTTTTATACGAATTCATATTATTAGTGCAGCCTTAAAATAAATACAAGTAAATAAAAAGGCAAAGTAAATATTTGTGAATATTTGTACTTTGATAGTATTTTTTTTACCATTTTACTATTGTTATAGTAAGAGGGGGTGTGAGGAGCACTAGTTGTCTAGTGTTAAAAGGTAGAAGTGATTTTATAAAAGGTTTTATTACTGATGTTTCTAAAGTACTACTAGGGGCCGGCCTCATCTTATATATGTGCCTTGTCACCTTTGTTGTGCACATTTCCAATTGTGCACTCCGTTGGTGAGAACTGGATCTTCTGCGAGCAGACCGGTACCTTGGCAAGTCAATTTTGTGGTTTTCGTGCGTGTGGGCTCATGTGTGTGCATTGCAAAATGGGGAGCATGTTTGGGCATCAATGTAATGCCTCCCTAATTTACGTCTGCATGGTCCAATTAATGTCCTATCAATTGGCACGCAGGTGGAAACCTGTTTTGCCATTCTCAACCTCAACATTCGCTTCCATATATTCAGTCTGTGCAACAATGCCATGGTGCTTAATATAAGAAGTTTTTATATTGTCATATTATTTAGCATTTCTCATTATATATGATTACTATTGATATTAATATATCATTATTATCTATAATTTTATTATTAATATCTTCATCTTTAATTTTATTATTATTAATGGAAATAGATTTAAAATTAATATTTTTTAATGTGAGTTTTAGTTTTTCCTTTAATACAATATTTTTTACAACTTCTAATATAGTATCGTTGCGAGAAATATCAATGTTGAACCAAACATTGTTAAGTGGGGGCGTGTCAGCTTCGTAAAATTGGTATAATACAAGCTTTTTGTTAATAATATCGTTTGAAGACATTTGTATAACTTAATCGTAAAGTGCTGTGGTAATTCCAAGTTAATTATATTGGGTGCTTAATGATGCTGTATGTATTTTTTGGTTTGGTAAACTGGGATTTTGCTTGTTTTTATACCAAAATCGTATAAGCTTTTTGTAAATGGTGTTAATTATACGAGAATAAAATATAGCAATGATAGTGTGAAAAAATATTGGCCATACATTTAGATTTAGGGTTAATAAAAAATTTTAAACCTAATTTTGGATGTATTTAGTTGTATAGATACTGATAATGTATATCTATTCCGCATTTTTATATAAAAAAGTTGAGTAAATGGAAAAATGGAGTAAATGGAAAAATGGAGTAAATGGAAAATGTTGGCTTTATATAATAAACATTTTGTAAATAAACAATTTTTTAATAAAAGTTGATGCTTAATCCTGACACATCTATTTATATAAAACAGTATTGTGAGTAAATTGTTATACTATTTTATTGTTATAAATATTTCAACTATTTTTGTTTATTTTGCACCTTTTTACTGTAATATTTCTCAGCACATAAATATCCGCAAGCTCCTATTTTAAGCCATCAACGTGTTGTTTACTAAAAGACACGTGTTTCTCTAAAAAATATTCTTAATAAGCCGATTTGATAGTCCCACTATTATAGTCTAATTTAACCCGATCTTAACACATTATTTATTAGTCAATTGTAATTGACTGATCAATCGGCCTTTATTGCTGTTGATCTGCTGGAGCTGAATGCAGCCAGGCATTATCAGATTAGATTGCTTATTATTTTAGTCACACAGTGACACACATCACATAGTTTTTTATCTTAGCTCTCCAGTGCATAGTACTCATTTTATACACTTTAGCAAATACATAGTGTTGCGCAGACTGAAGATATGGAAGTGGATGTTGAGGTCGAGAATCGCGAAACAGGTTTCCACCTGCGTGCCGATTGATAGGACATTAATTGGACCATGCAGGCGTAAATTAGGGAGGCATTACATTGATGCCCAAACATGCTCCCCATTTTGCAATGCATACGCATGAGCGTACACACGCGAAAACCACAACATTGACTTTCCAAGATACCGGTCTGCTCGCAGAAGATCCAGTTCTCACCAACGGAGCGCACAATTGACAATGTGCACAACAAAGGTGACAAGGCACATATATAAGATGAGGCCGGCCCCTAGTAGTACTTTAGAAACATCAGTAATAAAACCTTTTATAAAATCACCCCTAACTTTTAACACTAGATAACTAGTGCTCCTCACACCCCTCTCTTATTATAACAATTGCATGCTTAAATTATAATACTAGAAATATCTTAAACCCAAATATACCCAACCCAACACATAATTAACATTAATTATTAAATTACAAACCATTCAACCGCTTTGTTTTACATACATCTGTATATTGTCACTATTGAAAATGCCAATTTATCAATTAAATAGCATAAAACTACCACTATAAATATTCATTTGATATTGTTCAATATCCGAACATTCTCATTGAAATGTTATCTTTATACAAATTTGATTGGCAGTTTTTTTCTTCAAACTGCCTTTTGGATTACTCTTTAAATATAATACTTTAAAAGTAGTTGGATTGTTGATCTTAAAAAAGGTTTTCAATAAATAATTTTTTATTATTTTGTCAGAAAGTTTTATATCCAATAAGCTTGGTTTTTCCTTAACGTTTAATATTTTTTCCCATATGCGGTCGGCAGTTAGCCCATATATTTG